TTGTTTTTACAGAGAAAAGTAATTGCTGGTAAATGAGTCTCTTTTGCCTTCTACTGAATTGCACTCACTGTGCTTGAAAGAAACTGGATGTCTTGTTTTTACAGAGAAAAGTAATTGCTGGTAAATGAGTCTCTTTTGCCTTCTACTGAATTGCACTCACTGTGCTTGAAAGAAACTGGATGTCAACAATGTATTTCTGTTTAAAAGTGTCCCCACAATGCAAGTTAGGCTGTTTTATTGGTTCTTAGTGTTTATTGGCACATGGTGATAAAAAAACATTTGCTTCAAACCGGTAAAAGATGGTAAGCTGAAGAATGTGAACTTCTACTAAGGATTTTGCTGTTTTATTTCTCAGATATACAGTGGCTCCTTGTTAAAATATAGGCAATTTGATATTTGATACATTAGTCAAGCTGTGGAAAATAAAAAACAATGACAGGAGATATGTTTTGTCCTAATGACTGATATCAAATAGCCCTTTCTAGAAAGGAGTAGTAAATCTATATATAAATCTATAAAAAAATCTAAATCCATATAAAACTGTACAGTTATAGATTCAAAATTATAGATCTTAACATAGGATTGAAAGATAAATCTATGCTTGGGGTTGTCAGGATTCAGAACAATGAACAATTGCAGTACTTATATTCGTGGAAACACCAGAAAAGATGGCGACTTAAAACGTTGTGGTTTGGATTGTTCAATATTCAGGGACGAAAAGCAAAGCCTGATGCTTTCAGAGTGCAAAGAACTGTACCAGCCTTTGGTTGGTTTGTTTTCTGGGGAATCTGTAGCAGGAGAAGTTTTCTGCCCTGTGAGATTTTGAGGCGGCTGGTGTGTACAGATTTGTTTGCATAAGACTGACTGTATTTTTATTATTTAGCCATGGTGCCTGGAATCTCAGATAGATTCTTTTTAGTGTGCTTGATAGCTCAAGATAAATATACAACTGACTTTTCTCATCTCTGAAAAAAATCTAAGTATTTAGAAAAATGAGGTTTCAAAGGAAATTAAGATGACTCCACACAAAGTACCTTGCATTGCCGAGAAGACAGGAGCCTGGGAAAACAAATCTATTGGAGAAACATGTTAGTTCTTGTATATGTTGGAAACCAAGTTGCATAACAGGACTGAAAGACAGCATTACCTGCCAGTGTTGGAATTAACAGCGAGGGCTCAGAAGAGGCTTGAGGAAAAGGGCAGAACAATAATCCAACCTGCATTTCTAGAAGTTTATCGAGAGCAGTTTCATTTCAAGAGTTGCTTTAATTAGTGATGAATGGTGGCTTTCAAATGAAATCTAAATAAAAAGAGTTAAGGCTGAAGAAATTTCCTAAACCTTTTGTGTGCCATGCTTTCATAGTATCAGTGTCCTTTATCTTTTACTCTGGATTGCAAAGCAGTGAAACTGCCCTATGTAGAGGCCAGAGAGGAGACAGTCTGTAACCTGTGTTCAGCAAATGTAAAAAAAAATCTCAGTCCAACTATGGATGCTTTTGAGTAAAGGTGAAAGAGGCATTGCCAACTCTTTCTATGTACTGGCCTTCTTCAGTAGTGAGAGAAAATATGCTGAAGTGTTGGTATTGTCTGTGATGTTTTCCTGGAGAGAGCTCTTGCTCGGAAAGAGTGGTTCTTTCTCAGTTTTAACACAACATAATTTTTCTCATAGAAATCCAGGAATCTTCTTTGAAAAACAAAAAGCAGAGCTGAACCCCTGTCCGTGTTGGCTAGCAGAAGTATCTTGTGGATACTTGAGTAAAATATACTCATTTTATCGATGCTAAAATACAGCCACCTCCCTCTTTTTTTATAGAATTTGGACAGCATTTAGGCTGATTTTGTTTCAGAGTGCTGCCTCTGGAAGAAGGTTAAACTCTAGTGGATTGATGCTCCAAATCCCATCAGTATTGGAAAACTTGTTCTGTTGAGGCTAATACACCCCATAAACCCACAAAGGGAAAAAAACCCAGCTGTTAAACATGTCTGAATTTCTTTTCTTGTTCTGGTTTGAAGCAGGCGGGTGAGGATTCAGCCGAGGGAGAGAAACAGCAGTATGTCTGCAGAGGTAGTGCTGGCAGCTGCGGAGATGAGGTCTCATGTGGGACAGGGACACACACAAGGACAGGAACCACACAACCTCCCACCTACAGGAGAGCTGTGTGTGTCACTTGCACTCAGGTGTTTCACCTGGCTTCTTTTGCATTTCTCTCTCAGAGAACCAACACAACCACTTCTGCTGTCCTATGTTCATCTAAGTTGTCCATCTTTTTCAAAAGTGCCTATTAAGCATTTCATTTATTGAGAAGAATTAATGCTGTGGAGCTGCTGCGGGATATTTTCCTAGCTGGCCTGGCTTGCTTTGCTGTGTGCTTCCTGCGTGCCTTTGGACATACAGATTCATTTGTGTGTATGTACTTGGTCAGGCTCATAGAGTCCAGGTGTTTTTTTGGGCTTCCTACTTCATTTTTGTCTTCCTACTGAAAATGGCACAACTGGTTAATCTCACAGGAATTATTGATTTGGTTGTCTTTTTATGCTAGGGATTACAGAAATGTGACAGAAAAAAAACACTGCTTATGTGCATGATTTATATATCAGTTTAGGTTTTTCCAGATGCTCCTTTCCTGCATTTCATAGAAAAATATTATAGACAGAATATGGAAAATTAATAAGGAGAATCCTAGTAATATGGGAGTTGGCCCAGACAAGTAGGAAAAGAAGCCTAGTACACATGAAAAATGTATCAGTGTTCTAATAAAATCTGTAGACACATCTATTCTTGGGATTTGCAATAGTCCTTCACTTAGAATTACACATTCATGAGGACACTTCCTAATCTACTTTATATGTAAGTTTTAATGATGCCAAAGAGTCTAAATCACCTGAAAAAATCAATATAAGTCTGCTGTCTAAATTTGAGCTTCTGAGCCTGTGTCAGACTGCAATTGAACTGTGCAGTCAGTTTATCCCTTCACAGACATTTGAGGTCCTCTCTACTATTTTTTATTTCCAGTTCTAGTCTGCTGTAAGATTGCATAATGTGAAAGTTCAGGCAAAGGTAGGTTCTTGCAGAGTACCTAATAGCTTCTTTAATACCTAGCAGCCCATCAAAAGTGTTGAAACAAATGCATTCACAAAGGAAGGGTTTTCAGCCCTGCTTTTATAAAGATTAAAAATGTATTTGATCTTGTGTATCTTTTCTGGGTTTTCCTTTTGTACATATAATACATTTAGACATCCTCAAGACCTGAGTGAAAAATGCAGATATTGAAGGAATATTTAATTAGCACTGGCATATGTCTAAGTCCAAGGAATCATTTCTTGACTACTTTGCTGCAGTAATTGCCATCCAGAGAGTACACTGCAGGAACTGGTTCTGAGAAAGGGCTGTGCCAGCAGGCTCTGATGTGTTTTCCTTCACAAGGGAATTGCAGAAAGTGATTTTCCTTCTTGTGTGATATTTTTCTCATCTTTCCATCATGCAGAAGCTTAAATACAAGGAGTAATTGCCATCTAGGTGAAAGAAAAAAGGGAGCTATTTCCCACAGAACAGAGCCAAGAACAAGAGCTTCTAAAGAGGAACAGAGAGCTGGTTGCTGTATAGTTAAATAGGCAGATTTTCTACAAGAACCAAGGAAGAGGAAATCCCACAGAAGAAAATCTTATTTATTTTCCAGACTTTTGTGTAGGTTTTAAGCATTACTTTGGTATGAGTTAGCTGACCAAATAAGTTTGTTCTGTCTCCTTATTTTTCAGCTTCATAGTCTCTTATTTTTCAAGTACTTCCCCTTTTTTCCTCTGTCAGACTCCAATACTCTAAAGTGCTGATCCTTAAAATGGAAACACTCTGACAAAAACCCTTCTTTCCAATGTTTTTTTCAACGTATTTTGATGAAAGTTTTTGTTTGTTTTTGCAGTTTAAAAATTCATGAAAATAAAAAGAATGCTCTCCATACGAAATATGAAATATGGCCTATACAC